TGTACCACGTTGAACATTCTACGCGCATTAACGTTGTTATTAAATTACAGTTTTTGTTGACAATAATAATAAATGGCATTATATAACACATTACGCACACACACACACACACATATACACACACATGTATATATATATATAGAAAGAGAGAGAGGAAGAAATATTTTCACACAGTATTATGATCGTTTTACCGTAATCAAAGAAAAATTCTTCAAACTTTTTTTAAAAACATTTTTAAACAGTGTACACTAACCAATCTACTTAAAATGAATATTCATTAAAAGCTATTTTTTCGCAGGTAAAATGTTTTCAAACAATTACGAATTTAGAAACGTGTAAATAAAGCCTAACCATAAAAAAGGTAATTAATATGTATACGCTGCAAAAAGTATTAGTTATTAATATACTACTAAAAAATAAATATTTGACACATTCGGATGAGTGATGTAAAATTTATTAAACCAGTAAATATTTAGAGCATGGTTCCATAATTACTATATCAATGTAAAATAATTTTTTTTTAATCTATCAATAATAATTGTCTCAACAAACTGAACGGTTTAACAGTAATAGTTATAGTAATAGTGAATTTAAACGTCTTTCAGTTGTCTTTTTTTGAATTTTAAAAAAAATTATCTCTGAACAGAAGAGATTTTAGTCTGTGTTAGGAAGTTCTATTTTCACTTTTGAAGTGGAGTGATCCTTTGGTTTTGTTGAACTTAAGTAATTTGGTTGTAAATATACAGATATGGTACAGACTGTATATAAACAGCTTATAGATCAACTTATCATATTCTAAAACCAATGCGGTACATATTAGATACCTACTCTTTTTAAACTTTGGGAACTCGCATCGTATGCTATCTACTTGTACTTTGATCGCGTTATATGTTATTTACCTTTTGGGTGATATCTACTTTGTACGGAGACTGATATTGCAGATATAATCGTATAATTATAAACATCAACTCGGACGAATGGAGGGTTTACAGCAATTTAAGTGACCACGGATATGTGCATAAGACTGTAAACCACCAGCTCCACTTCATTGATCCAGAAACAGGGCCCAAAATTCAATCCATAGAGTCTACGTGGAGACGTGTCAAGTAAAATATGGCATAACGTGGTGCCACTAACTTATTGGAACGGCAGTTGATGGAAGAGTGGTGGCGTTCACTCAATGCATCAAAGAATCTTTCTGACCAGTTTTTTAAAGACATAAAAAAAAGTTCATTAATGTAACAGATGCCCAGACGACACTTACAATCTACAGATTGCGAGGTGGAAAATTGTAGATAACATACAACGTCAACAAACGATTGTGATAGATACATTTTTCATGTAGCATACGACGCGAGTTCCAAACTTTGTAACACGTTATTAATTTAGTATCTGTTAACGGATACCAATTGGTAGGGGCATAAAAATCGGTTTCGATAGTGCGTGTTCATCAACGTGAGTGAGAGGGAGAAGGATTGCCAAACAAAACACGTTTGAACAAAAATATCCAGTCGCACGAATAACCGAAAACAACAATAACAACAGTTCAGTGTTATTTGTTTGTCGGTTATTTGTTTCCAGACGATTGCTGCAGTAAAAATATGTAGGTACTTGTCGAGCCGTAGATCGAGGCAATAGTATTGTAATTAATAATATAATGCTAAAACGAAATGAGGCTGTTACAGACATCAAAATAAAATAAAATCATAGATTTTAATATAGTACCTGCTCAGGCCTTGTTGGTCATACTTAAAGGTATACGATTTCGGTATTAAAATAAACTTAAAAAAATACCACCAAACTTGTATTAGAACCGTTTTACTCATTTTTTTTTTTTTGTTTTTGATAATCCACTTACCAAAAACATAGTGCTCGACGGAAACGATTACATAGGAACGGTAAAACACGGCCGAACGAAAAATGATAATAATAATAATAAATAATATTAATAATAATAATAACTGGTTACGTTTCGTCGATGTGTTGTCTGTACGGGAGCAACAGAAAAGGTGATTTAAACTTTCAAAGAAGACAAACAATATATAAAAAGGTACACGCACGTAAGTACGTAGGGTTACTACACTATAATACACGCCCGCACAAGTACGGAGAAATTTATTATGAGATATAATGCAGTGCGGGTAGTATTTAAACTTATTATATGTATGTATTTATATAAATTATTCTGCACGAGGGCTACTGAAAAATTTTTCATGGTCGAAAATCCCAACGTAATGGCGACGAAAACAGAAATTCCCTAATAAGCAAAATATTTTGTTATAAAAAAATAAAATTAATAAATATATTCAATATGGTAATATTTAAATCAAATTTATAAAACAGATATTAAAAATACGTATAATAATGTATAATTGCATGTGTATATATAGTAGATTCTCGTTATGTCGAATCTCAAGGGGAACAGAAAAAAGTTCGAGATATCGAAAACTTCGAGATATCGAGTTTTATTAAAAATAAAAAATAATTTATATAAATGTATTTTGTATAATGTATATGAATTATAAATAATACGAATGCCTAAAATACATAATTTGAATACTTAAAATACTGAAATGACTGAATAAATTATTTTTTTTTTTAAAAAAATCTGTCATTAAAGTTTGCTTGATATTACTTCTTTCTGTCACGATGTCTTCTAAATTAGATAATACAGAAAAAGCCTTATCTTCCATACCTGCAGTAGTCTCAACAAAATTCCTTAGTGTTTTTAAAGCATGTTTAGCTTGTTGAATTGTAACTTCAAAAATGACTTCCTCCTCATTTTGTGGTTCGCTTTCACTCTCGCTGGTATTTTCGATGTTTTCTGATAAAATTGTATTATCTATCTATGTTTTACATACGTGTACATTATTGTCCATTTCCACATAATGTGAAAAACTTCTGTCGTCTAAATTAAGATGATCAGCAACAAAATTCCATTTATCATCACAAATAGTAGTTGAGTTATCTAATGCAATTATATCACGGTCTTTAAAACCGGCTTATACGAAGCAATTTACTATATTTAGCTATATTATAGTCTGTGGTGTTACACTTCTTCAAGCCTTATCAGACATTCTTATAGCTTCAAGTACGTTTATAGAAAATGGTTCATTGTTATCGATATTATCAACTAACCGTCTGATTATTTCTCTTCTATAATACATTTTGAAATTCTGTATAATGCCTTGGTCCATGGGCTATAGATATGGTATAGATATTGTATTAGGTGGTAAAAAATGTACTCTAATGGAATTTAATTCAATATCCTAATTATGAGTTGTACAATTATCTATGAATAGTAGAATTTTTCGATTTTCTAGTTTCATTTTTCTATCAAAATTTAAAAGCTACTCACTAAATAATAATGAAGTCATCCTAGCCTTTTTATTTGACCTATATTCAACTGGTAAAGATTTAATTTCTTTAAAACACATAGGCTTCTTTGCTTTACCAATGACAAATAATTTTAGTTTTTCAGTTCCAGGCATATTTTCTCCTACCATAGTTATAATGCGCTCTTTACTGTATTTCCCACCCGAACATTCTTCACCTTTTAACATTAATGTTTTATCCGGTAAGCATTTGAAAAATAAGTCCGTTTCATCGACATTAAAAATATCATTAGAAGAATAACCTGCTAAGACGTCAGGAAGATTTTTAATCCAATTTGAACAACAATGTGTGTCTACTGAAGCTTTTTCTCCACAAACACTTCGAAAAACTACATCATGTCTTTTTTTTTCAATTTGTAAGCCATCCACTACTAGCTTTAAAATTAGTGTGTCCTAGTTGTGCATATTCGTTTGCTTTTTCAAGTAAAATTGTTCCATTTATTGGTATATTTTTATCTCGACACTGAGTAAACCATTTTAGTAAACATTTATCAATGTCCAAATAAGGAGTCATCCTCATTTTTTCATATTTCCACGTCTGAACTTCATTATTTTCGGTAATGTGTTTGGTGGATATTGAATTCATTGGCGATTTTACATTTTTTACGGTCACCTTTTTCAACTAACTGTATTAAACGAACTTTGTCCGAAATTGAAAGAACATTTAATTTAAGCTTCTTTTTCATTTCACTACAAACGAACAAATGAATAATCGAACTACGAAAGACTACAAACATGACTACCAACGCGCTAAAACACAATCGCTAAACTGCACAATGTATGCAATGTACTGCACTAATGTACTGCACAATTCTTCTTTTAACCATAATAAAAATATATGTGAACTGGAGATAACGAAAAACGATTCATTTTATATCGAGTTATCGAGAGCAAAACACTATTAAGTGTAATAGTAGTTTCAACGGGAATTCAAAGTAGTTCGAGATAACGAAAAATTCGAGATAGCGACATTCGACACATTAAGAATCTACTGTATAAGCCACAGCTATCCTACTTGCTTAGCGTGACTCAAACTTTCCAAAAAGGTTGGACCCCCCGGTGAGATAAATAACAAGACGAAGAAAAACAGCAATCCTTATCCAACCTTTTTACATAAAAGAAACACAACACGATTATGCTCAGCTAATTAGCTCGATAGCACTCGGTTTTACCTTTTTACCTACAAAAAATGCAACACGATTGCGCCCAGCAAAGTAGTTGGATAGCGCTCTGTGAAATATAAGGTCTTGCCTTTCTAACAATTTTCAAATATACTATTTAAAAATACAGCCAGAGTGTATAACACAAAGTTTAAATTAGGTTAGATTATCATTTTAACAATTTTCCTTCCCAACAGGCTTTATGCCCTATAGCAGCAGTTCTCAAACTTTTTTCTTCGCGGAGCCCAAATATTCCTAAAAAAAATTACGGAGCCCCAAAAATCAGAAATGTCTATATGAGACAACAAAAATTCATAAAAAAATGATGTCAATTGTAAATGATTTGCTTTTTATTTTTATTTTCTGTAAAATACGAATATATACAAATTATTCAATTAATATTAATTTAATAAGAAAAAAGAACATAATATTTTAGCAATTTATTTATTTATTAATGTGATCCATGATGTTGGCTTTTTTTATTGACCAGTATTTTTATATTTGGCTTGATAGGCGAGAGTTGAATGCGCATATCTGCTTCAGCATCCAATTTATTACGATATTTGGTTTTCATTGATGCATATGATGAAAATCAGGTTTCACATAGATATGTTGTTGCGAAAGGAAGAAGTGCTGAGATAGCTTTTTTAGCCAGAGATTGATATTCGTTAGTAATACTGCTACTGCACCAAAAATCTGTTAATGATATTTTATCAAATAAAGTTTTTATGGATGAATCCGGTGGTTATTTCAATAAATTCTTCATACTCCGTTATAGATAAATCTTCGGGCTTATCGTTGATTAAAAACGGATTTTTAACCTAATTATATCGTTGGATAAATTCTATATCTTTACTTTCTGGAAAATATTTTTCTAATGACGATAATATTTCATTTAAATGTTGTTCAATTTCGCCATATATTTTATCAAAATCTTCAATATTACCATCAATCGATTCTAAATATTCCTTTAACAAAGGAAAACTATCAATTTTATGTTGAGAAAAACACACAGCCCAAAATTTAATTTTTTTTTTTAAAGCTCGAATTTTGTCATTTGCCGTGAAAACAGTGGTCATTTTACCTTGTATTGATAAGTTCATTTCATTTAATTTTGTGAAAATATCAGCCAAGTAACTAAGTCGAAATAACCACATTTTATCAGTAAGTCTGAGCTGTAAATTAAATGGGTGATCGGTGAAAAAAACGTACAATTCATTGCGCAATTCGAGTAAGCGTACAAGTGTTTTCCTCCGAGAAAGCCATCTTACTTCGGTATGGTAAAGTAGTGATTTGTGCATACTTCCCATATCTTCACACAAAATTGTGAACAGTCTTGTGCTCAATGGTCGAGATTTTACGAAATTTATAATCTTCACTGCCTCATTAAGTACATTTTTAAGAGGTATTGGCATCTTTTTAATAGCAAGTGCTTGACGATGAAAAATGCAATGACTATTACTACAGTTGTTTGTTACTTCTTTAATTCGCGAAACCACGCCAGCAGTTTTTCCAACCATTGCCTTCGCTCCATCTGTACAAATATCAATACAATTATCCCAAGTCAATCCTTCTAATTCGAAAAAATTGTTCAACATATTGAAGATTTCATAACCAGTTGTATAAGTGGACAAAGGTTGACATAATAAGAGGTCTTCTTCAAGAGAAGTTTGATATTTATACCTAAAGAATACAAGCAATACAGCTAATCCAGAAACGTCAGTGGATTCATCCATTTGTAAAGAAAAATTATTACATTTAAGACGAGATTTTATGTGAGTTGATATATCGTTAATTCTACGCCTAACGGTATCGTTGGAAAGTGGAATAGTATTTATTTTTTTGACTGCCTTTTCATATAACATACAACTAACAGTATCAGTCACGCAAGGTTTGATGAGACTTTCGGCAATTGTATGAGATTAACCAGCCTGAGCTATACGATAACTGACCATATAAGATGCCTCTGTTGCTTTTTCATTTGCTGTTTTTGTTACTTCAGCTATAAAGTTCTTATTCTTTAAAAGTTGATCACGCAATCGAATAAAATAATCTATAGGTTTATCTTTCACGTTTGTATGGTTAGTTTCCAGATGACGGCGCAATTTGGCTGGCACCAATGAACTATTCGGAAAAACTTTACTACATACAACGCACTGTGTATAACTATTTTCATGTATGAAACCAAAAGAGATATAATTTTCGTCATATTTTCTTCTTTTACTTACTGTAGTGTCAGATGTCGCTGTATCAGATTGTTAGGTGGACTATTTACTCTTTTTAAACTCGCACTATTAGTCGGTGTGATACATATATTTTCATTTGCATCTGATGAGGATGATCCCACTGTATTTCTTGATTTGTTAAGCCAACGATCCATTTGAATTTTTATTCACAAAAAAAAATTGTTAACAATAAAAACAATTGATGGTAAAATAGGAAACACGTAATACGAAATAAACACCGAAATAACAATATTTGCGTCAGCGCCGATGAATAACGAGTAATGACTGAAGAATCAAGAAATTATTAGAACTTCGTAGAATGTAGATTGTACTATTGTAGATAAGTAAACTAAATAATTATCGTACAACATGTCAAATGAACGAAAAACCCGACTTTTATCTAATCTCATTTTGACAATGACACAAAATATGACATGTGGATTTATAAATATTTTAAAGTTTTAAACGTTTAAAATAATACATATTGGTACGGTCCAAATAATATTGATTATAAAAATAAAAATTTAACTAAGAAATATAATAATAATTTTATAATTTAAATTTAATTAATTCAGATATTCTCAAGGAGCCACGGAGCCCCTAGACTATTCTCGCGGAGCCCTAGGGCTCCGCGGAGCACAGTTTGAGAACCACTGCCCTATAGGACTGACAACATGTATTTATTTATTCACATACTATAATACTATATGATAACCTGTTATTCATGAAGTTATTAAAATATTATTTGACATCCAAAGTGAAACTTATTTAAAAATTAAAAGTATTAAAGAAAATCGTATAAACCTCGAAAACAACAAGAAAACAAATTTAAATTTATTATGCAAACTTGGAACAAAATTAAATTTCTGTGCTAGAATATATGAATATAATGGACCCTAATTTTGTGCCACAAAATTGTAATTAGTAGCTTCGTGATTTATTGAATTATTTTATGTATATTTGGACAAATATTATTTTATCGAATAAAAAAAAATGCATTAATAGTTTTAAAAAGTATATGTTATTGTTTACTAATGTATCTAATGTATCTATGAGGAACAATTTTTAACCAAGCCAACAATTTAATTTTGTTGTCAGTCCTAAGCCTGTAAAATTGGGAAGGAATATTGTTAAAATGATAATCTAACATAACTTAAATTTTGAGTTTCACATTTCGACTGTATATTAAAATAGTATATTTGAAAATTCTTAGAAAGGCAAGACCTTATATTTCACAGAGCGCTATCGAACAATTTTGCTGGGCGCAATCGTGTTGCATTTTTTGTAGGTAAAAAGGTAAAACCGAGTGCTATCGAGCTAATTAGCTGAGCACAATCGTGTTGTGTTTTTTTCATGTAAAAAGTTAGGCGGGCGCAATCGTGTTATAGCCATTTTTCAAAAGAGAATCTATCAATTATATTTTTTATGTTATTTTCACAGTCAATATTCATATCCTTATGAGTATACATCATAGCTAACCCTGTCAATCTTTCGTCTCCCATCCTTGCTCTCAACCATGTTTTAAATGGTCTTAAAGAGGAAAAACCTTTTTTTTTGCTGTTGCGAAAGAAATTGGAAATCTAACTAAAATTTTAAAAAATTACATATGTATTGGACGGTAATTTTATCTAAATAATTTAATGTCTCATAAGTAAAATTTATATTTTTAAATTCAGAATTTTTAATAAAGAACTATTGTTTTTTTTTCACGGAAATTACCAAGACGATGTATGCGACGATTAATAATTTGCATCAGTAACAAATATAACGTTTCAATAATTTTTATTACATTTTATGTATACTGTATAATATTATCGATTGATACAAGATACAATACAATAAGCAAGATACAGCACAATTATTGGTGTGGGGCTTGTATGTACAAGAAATTATAACCGATTCTGTACGATGTAAATTGTTCATATTAATCTATTGATAGACTAAAAGTTTAGGATTTAAAAAAAATATATTTATATAATTTAATAGTTTATTTTTGCACCATATAAAACACTTTTTTGTGGCCACCCCCTTCGTTGCCCCATGAATACGTGTCTGTAACACGATTGGACAAGGAGGTATCGTAAAAAAATTATCCTCATCGACGTTTAAAAACCCTTGCTGAGAAGTGTATATTATAAAGAGAGAAAAAAAAACAAGGAAAAAAATGAACCATATGAAGAAAGCACGATATTATAATTGAATCGGTTGTATAAAAACAACATACCTAAGTAATACAATTGAAATGTTATACAAACCACAATTAATAATCTAATAATGTGAGACATTTATAATTAAATTTTGTATCATCACTAAAAATATATTTATAGGATCTATGATGTGCTTCATTATCTATGCTTTTGGCTATATTTCATTGAAATAATACATAAAATGCATTTGAATGCATATTAAAAACAGTGTTTTTATTAAGTTGTTATTGAAACGTCCACGACTCAATACGTTGTAATTATTACAAATGTATAATGTATTATTTTCGAGACATCTGGGAACGGGCATCGTGTATGTCATTAGGAGCAGAGAGACACGCAAGATGAGAATATTTAAAAAAAAACTTGTTCTTTGGCAGTATTCAATCTAATGATTGATTTACAGCAACTACTGTGTTTACCTATCACTAGCGTTCCTCTTTAACTATTGATATGAAGTACATCCTTGATCGTCTATTATCTGACTAATGTATTGCAATGTTGTTCTTCCTTTACGACTTTTCCGTCGATTATTCCTTCCAAGATTAGTCCTAACAACCCAGCGTGTCTTAAAATATGATCTATTATTTTGTTTCGCTTTTTCAATATACTATTCCATATTGAATTCCTCACGAATATCCTGTCTAAAGTGTTTTCATTAGTAATTTTATCAGTCCAACTTATCTTTTCCATTCTCCTGAAGCGCTACATTTCAAATACTTATGTTCTTCTCTTGCAACAGTCCATGTTTCGCATCTATGTAACATCATAATGCTCCAGACGTATGTTTTTAGTTAATTATTTTTTATGCTATGACCGATAAATTTTTAATTAAAAATACTACTTTTCTTATTAAATCTCCAATCTGAGCTTCAGTGCTACCTAAATATATGAAGTTTTTTACTTGTTCTATGGTTTCATTATACTTTAATTTTATTCTTGTTCTTACTTTATTGTCTCTACTACAAGCTAGGATTTTCGTCTTGTTTGCATTAATTTTCATAAGTAGATCCTTTACCTGTTTATTGTTAAAAAAAAAAAAAAAAAAAAAAAAACGAGATCCATCGGCAGCTGCACTTTCCGACGTGTAGTGTGCGCGCGTAATCTCAAACGTTATAATGACAATAATCGTCGTGTGCATACCAACGCGGCGGACGGTGATGGACGGAGACGGAGAGAATGTTGCGGGCGAGATAAATAAAATGTAAAAACATGATCACCTCGAGGATGCGGAGCGAGAGAGAGAGAAAGAGAATAAAACCGCAAGTGCTTAATAACGTTTCGTTAGCGTGCGTGTACACACGGGTGTATTGCAAACGATTTGTTGGCGACTGTCGGATGTATTTTGGCGTTCGAAAATAACACGCGGTGTTTTTGACCTTGAGGCTGATCGTCGACGGAACGTCTTCGCGGGAAACACGCGGTTATTACCTGCGTCGATGAAACGTTACGGTCGCTCTAAAAACGAGTAGTTAATATAATCGCGTGGTTACTATCGTGCGCGCTGCACGTCGTTTCATAATTTTGCGCATCACGTCCACCGCAACCGCGGTGTATACATTGGTTGCAATAACACCGAAGAATAAGTTCCGTCCGGTCCCCCGCCGCGACGGCAAAGAAAAGTGTACCCGAACTGTACCTATGGTTACATATGCGAAAAAACACCGTTACTACGATCGTAGCCCAGTCACCAATTCGATTGCAGTGATGTTATACTTGCCGCGAACAATCGTGAGGGACGCGCACAGCAACAGCAGATCTAGGGTAGAGGGGGTCAGTAGGTCACCTGAGTCCCACAGTTAATATTTGTTGACAAAATTGGTCTCTTAAAGACTTTTTATACATATTGAAATTAATACTGAACTGGGGAAAATGCCTGAGACTGGCGCTAGATGGTAACAAAACCTTCATCCAGGGGGAACCCGACGGGTCAACGGGTTCGGCTCAGGTCGGTGCTGGTGGTCCATAGACGACACGGGATTCCCGCGCAAGCGGTAGTCCTGCTCGACTAAGGCTCGTTAATAGTGCTAAGGGCTAACACGGTCCTTTAGTTAGTAGTTCTACATCGATCGTGTAGAACTAAATAACAGGTTCTTAATAGGAAAAATGCCTCAGTTGCCCCTCACCCAAATTACCCCACACGTTTAATTGTATAGTACAATAATCGTTCATAAAATAAACGTTAGTATTTTTAACGATGATTATGAATAAACTTAAAAACACATGTTATATGATCATATCGTTTTTTTTTTCAAGATGTATACATTTATAATGCAGTTTCAGCCTTAATAAGTAGCCACTTGTAATATAGTGTGACTCACAGTTCATAACTGTTTATTCATCCCTCATGCACAGCACAAATAATGATCCCCAGTCGACAGCGATCGGTGCAAGGTACCACGTCGAAACCAAACTCTCAATATCCCGGTGGTAGAGCGCATTACGTTTACCGGTGTTTAACCGGGATGGTCACCGAAAGCCACATGCACAAGGATTAATGATCGGATCGATTAAAAATACATAGGAATGTTTCCCTCGGAAATGCATTGCTCTCGAAAAACGTTTAAGACACGTTGTATGTTGCGATCATTGAGCATCGCGTCTACGACCGCGGTGTACATTATTATTATTATTATTATTATTATGATATCGAATAAGTTCCGTCTGATTCCTATCGCAATCGCCGTCACGACGGCAAAAAAAAAACAATCCACCTCCGATTACTGTGCAGTTGTCGGCGAAATAGACGTTTACATTTACGATCGTAGCGCAATCGCCGTCGATTTGATTGCAGTGATGCTATAAACAACTGTACATGTTACGAAATCATGACGTGATAATGATCCAGACTTTACCGGTGCTGCGGGCATCAGATCAATGATCGAAAAAATTCGCCGAAAACATAACTCCGGAAACGCATTAATCTCGAAAAATGCATAGAATGTGCCCAAATAGGTATATTGCAATTTTTTAGTTAAAATTATACGAGCGTTGAAACGACGTATGTACTGACATTTCCCCTCAATTACACGGTTTATTTAAAATAATAATTAAGTATGTTGAGCTAGTCCATAGTCGTTTCCACACAAGGATATTAAAATTTACATTAAAAAAAAATAAAAGCTACTTTAGGCATCGAATATAGACACTACGTATAACACGAATGTATATGGTCATATAGCAAGACGATCGCAGAGGAAGAACAAGACGAACGAAACGTAGCCGATAGGTACGTTTAAGTATACATTGTAATATGCGCATCATTCGTTTATTAGCGTACCTCCTCGGAATGACAGAAACGCAATGACCGCTTGAACTTCATAGACAATTTTTTATATAGTACCAAAAACGGCTAGGCATACAGCCAGTCGACGCCCATCATTTCGTTATACTTATGTAATATAATGTTGGCATGACTCCGCACATCGTATTGTGTATTCTTACCAACTCATTGAAATAACAAAAATAATTAATACACAAATAAAATGGTTTATTTATCTATTTTTTAAATATTACATACTAAACAAAGTCTATCTAAATAATTAAAATATTCTTTATTTAAAAATGGTTACACACTAATGGTTTATAATTTTTCGTAATAATATTTTGAATATAATATATATTATATATTTTTAAATTTTTCATTAACATAATATATACGTAAAAGAGAAAAACTTAAAAAGACGTCAGCCTTATTATTTTTATAATAACATTTTTTTTTTTTTTTTACAAATAAACAGTGCGTATTTGTGGTTTCACTCTAAACGCCAATCTGGTAGTTATATAACAAAAAGTGGGAGGGGGAATCAATTATAATAATTATATAACATTATTACTGGAAGATATACGTATATACAAGTCTCGGTAAACGACGAAAACAAGTTATCTCATTATAGACGAAAATATTATTAAAAAAACATTATTTAAGAAGAAAATTACATTAATTTTATAATAATAACAATAATAATAATATAATGATAATGATAATAATAATAATAATAATAATAATAATAATAATAGATTGACATAATATCACAACATTATACAACTCTAGAACATTCAGAATTGCTCGATAAAAAGATGTTATATTTATGTTTCCTAGTCTTTTTATTAAATACTGAAAAACCTTCGATTATAGTAAGTATAACTCATAACCTTTAAAATACAATTTTTCATATTAATATATATATATATATATATAAATACAATTAATTGCAATAACTTGTACTTTGATATTCCAATAATAATTATTATTTATTTATCAAATAATGTACGCTAAACAAAAAACCGTTATCATTTTAATAATCGTGGTTTACAGACTAGAAGATAGTGCGGTGCTTGCTCATGCTTTCTTTCATTCTTATTTTTAATAATTAATTTTTAGCGTATTTTTATACATAATTATTTACACAATTTAAAAATCGGAATGTTTATTACAAACAATGCAGTATTATAAAATAAGATTTTTTTTTTTTTTTTAATTAATAAAAATTAACTACACACAAAATAAAGGTAAAGGTAATATAGAATTAAAATTTCGGCGATTGCCGTTCTACACGATTTTTTTATGTAGTAGTTTTCTAAATAATACAAGCACAATAAAATATTCATCCTGTGGAAAATAATGTATTATTTTTATAGTACATGTATGAGTGTGTGTAATATATACATAGATATTAAAAGAAAATAATAAGAATAATAAGTGTCTCTAACACGGGCCACATTTAACTGCTTAAGTATAATTATTATTTATTTATGACTTGAATAATGTATCAGACTTGCGGAACGATTTATTATATTTACAAGATATGTGACCCGTTTTTTGCTGATCAAACTATTGTAATTGAAGATCGTCCGAATCACATATTATAAGGTAATATAAATATTTTTCTTTAAATAAGCATTGGATTTTATATATTATAATATATTAATTGACCGTTCCGTTCTGTATAGTAATGAGTCTGTTCACTCGTCTGGTTCATATATATGCAAACGCAATAGTCAACGATGGCTGCCAAGATAAAAAAAAAATGTAGCCAATTAAGTACGCAATGAGTAAATTTAATTTTGTTCACCCTCATAAAGCATAATTTTATTTCTTTAAAAAAAAAAGGGGAAAAATTTAAAAATCTTAGCGTAATCACAAAATAATAAATAAATCAATACAGACGTTTTAATATTAATATCATTCAAAGTCGTGTAAACAATAAATAAACGTGAATTTGTTCACTAAGTCGGCGTTAGCACAGTGTATCGTAGATTACGTGGAAAATACACGGGGCATAGTGCGAGAGACATTTTTTTTTTGTTTTTTTTTTTTTTTTTGTTTTTAGAGATCGTAAACAAATGTATTATATTATTATGAACATTTGGATGTTAAAAATCGTTAACCGTATCATTTTTCTAAAAAAAAAAATAGATTAATAAAATTAATATAAATAAATTAAAAAACACTTATGAAGGGCAATGGAGTTGTGTTGGCAACTGGCTATGATGACCAATGGACATGGTCAATTGTGGTTGCGGATGATAATAGTAGTACATTCCATGTCCAGCCATCAGTTGCCAAGACAGTTCGGAGATCAAAGCCAATGTCTGGTGCCTCTCGTGTATCATCAAGCATACGGTGCTCTCCTCGACCACCTGTTTCAAAACGTTCAGGTACTGTAGCTTCATGTACTCCTCTTGCGGGGCGCAGAAATGGTTCTTCAAATAGTTTTCCAGCTTGGCGCGCTGTTGGTTGATGTCCGAGAAGTCGATGAAGAACCTAGAGCACATGTACCGCTCCAGTTTCTTGGTGCCGTCGCCGTCGTAGTCGGGCGCGTAGTTGCGCAACAGCAGATTGCAGTACTTGAGCAGACCGCCGCCCCGGATCTCCTCCGGGTTCCTGGTGACGATCAACTTGTTCTCCAGGTGGTACATGGCGTCACGGAAGTCGCCGTACACGGACTCGCCGACCACGGTCGGGTAGAAGTTCTCGCTGATCGGCACGCCGCTGGAACACTGGTAGAAGAGCAGCAGCGAGTCGAGCACGATCTGAAACGAGTCGACGGAGAACTCGAACGGCCGCTTCATCTTGTCGACGAACTTGAGCTCGACGTTCCGTTGGCCCGGCAACGTGCCCAGCGAGATCAACGACCACCGGTCACCGTCCTTGTTCACTTTGACCATTTTGCTGACGTACGCCTCCTTGATGCTGCACGGTGTCATCCGTTTGCGGCTCACGCCCTCCGGCAGCAGGTCCACGAGCGCCTTGAGCACGGCCGACTTGACGCGGTCAAAGTCCCGGTTGCCGGACAGACTGATGTTGAATATCAGATCCAGGTCGTTATACGGCTGCGTGTCTGTTGTCAGCACGTGCGACGCGGCGCCGCCGTTCAGTCTGATGCTGTTCACTTGGAACGATGTGTTGTCATCAACGTCCACCGTGCACCGTTCCGTCGAGAACGCCACGTCGTCGTCTTCTGGGGCGGCCTGCGCGCGCAACCTATCGCGCACCATGGCCACCAGGTCGCGGAGGCGCACTTCCAGCGTGGGGAAGTTGCCGCGGCCATGGATGCTCACTGTCTCGTCCATCACGTCGTTCAGTCGGGCCACCTGTTCGTAGCTTAGCACGGCCAGGCGGCTGAGATCGGTTTGGTTACGGCCCGCGGCGCCTTGGCGCTTCCGGTCGTCGCACGTGGACAGCATGGCCGCGGGTCGCATGTGGTTCAAATCTTTAGTCGACACGTCCAGTTGTCCGTTCTGCAACACACACAAAACACAAGTTACGCTCACGGTTATATATCAAAGGCGAGTGCAAACACAACCGTTATCGGTTACAGTTACAACAGTGTTCGTAATATGCACGCATATAGGTTCAAGGGCATACAAGTCGTCATCTCCTAAGGTTCCCGGTAGAGTCGCCGTCGATAATAAACTTTTTCCTAATCATCATGTCGTACCTATTAATACGAATGTCAATAATCATAGCGTCCCCGACCGTAAACGGATCTCGTATACGCGGGCATGCACTAACATATGTTAACTTCGGCTATGTCATCTATATTGTACGCGAACCAGCTTACGTAAAAAGACGAGTTCAACACGACGTCATCTCGCGACAATTTTATATACCCAGGTTAGGTTGCATTTGCGTGTAAATCTAAATTATTGCTAGCACACATTCAATCGGCGCACAAGTCCGTCGCGGATTTTACCAGCTGTACACGCCCGTAGTACTCGGTGTGCATCACATTGACTTACACAATAAACCATACACGTGTAATGATCAAACACGTTGATTAATAGATATATACCATAACGTTGATGTAAAGCTAGTATTGGTTGAGTATAAAATATATATATATAATAACGTATTTTTTTTATGTACATTCGTATGAGTAAACAAATAAATAACTAAAAATTGCACACTTTGACGTAAAATAATATATATATTAATAGAATACCCAGGTATAGGAAATAATCTTGCAGCTTGAACAGGCAGTGTTCATTTTACTAAAGTCAATCATTTGAGAATACACCGTTTAAATTATTCCCAACAACTAGTACAATTAAAATAAGCCGAGGAATACAATTTTATGAAGTATAAAATGAAAATATTCGCATATAAATTGTGTATAATGTACAAATAACGAAAATATTATCCATTATTGGTGAACATTGCTGTATTCAAGGTAAACAATATGATTTTTAAACCATTTAATTCTATCATAATCATAACAGACACGAATATTTTATGCAACACACTACCACAAAACTGTAACAACCACACTAGTAAATTTCATAAATATTTAACGGAAGAGTTAAATCAAAATCTGGACCATTGATCCACCGATCTATAGTATTCGAGTCAAGGACAATGATATAGAAATTTTTTTTGTCAGTGTGCACTGATCTGTGTATATTTAGTTATAATTTTTAACAATTATAAGGTTTACATAGTTTGTAGAGTAGGAAAATATATTTGGATGTTTGTGAATTTTGATTATTAGTCACATTATTATATTTTATAAGTTTTTTTTTTTTTTTATAAATTTAACATTCACATTGTTAAACGATTTTAGGATTAAATAAAAAATGTTTAACAAAACTAAAATTTTGTGTTGATGAAAAGACGATAAATTTCAAAATGTAACGAAGTGATAAAAATAAATTTGTAGTACGGCCAACTAACCCATAGCCTTCACTCAATGGTCAAATACTATCGTAACCGAATTTCCGGTAAGCGATAAAATATGGATTTATAAAATATCGGTCATTCAATACTTTAAAAATGTAAAATCGAAATTGTTCCAACGACCATTAATTGATTTGTAAATTGTACATCGCGTATAAAATATGAATACTAATTATTTCAAAGTTTTCAAATGTAAAATTAATTTACACAAAGAATATTGCAAAATTCATAACGGGCGGTAGAGAAGTTTAGAGCAGCTGCTTGCAATCCGTGGGCGCGGCGGCGGTAGTAGCAACGTTCTGGAACATTCTATGGCGCGACCGGGGGAGAGCTCGCCGGGATAACAAATTATATATGGGACTACACAATACACCACATTTACATTCGACGGTGCTTCACAATTTAAATTAAGTATACACACATTTTAATTTTGTTTTCATTTGAAACAAGTTATTTATAAAAATTGTTAAGCATACTTGAAAATTTTGGTCTTTTTCCATAATAAAAACGACTTTGAGGTTCGGGTAGGTTGTATAAGTCGAATTCTGGCAGACGTGATCGCACACTTTAACACTCACTTAAAAAATATAGTCAATTTTTTAAAATAAAATAGACATTAATTTTTATGTACGCCAAAGAAACAATTGCAATCACCACCACGCTCACTGAAACACACGGCAGAACACGTAAATACGAGTCGTCGGTGGCGGTGGCGGCTAATGATGAGCAAACCGCAAGACGCACACGTAACAAGAAGGCACCGCAAACGGAACGGAACTACCGCGATACAGTCAAACATCGCCGGCGCTAACCCGCCGATTCCCCCACTCCGATCGACTGCCGCGGCTCGGTATTTACCGTGCGACCGATAATTATTGTACAAAACTCCCCTCCGTGCCGTTATACGATGACACGAACACACAATACAGGTTACCATACGGTCTAAAAATATCGTTCAAAGGGCAAGGCAAACCGTAACGCAGCAATGCCAGAAAAATATCAGCATTACAACTTTGTATCTAATTACTATGGTATAATCTATATAGACGATAAACCTTTAATATCTGCTATACACATCGTTTTAACGGGTATTCAAATTTTCGTTACTCTCGTCTTGAGTTCTTGTCGTTCATTTGGCATCACTCCATTAGTAACATGATATACTACTAAAATATTTTTCATAATGCATGGATTGAATAATACACAAAAAATATTAATGCTCGGGTCTGGATATTTATATGGAAAAACTTGTATGCATAATTCACTCATACATTTAAACACAGCATTGTAATTCCATGTTTAAGGAATCAATCATAGGCAATTTATTTAACGCTATATCAGAAGCGACAAATTATTTCATTACATCAAACGTGAACGTGAAACGTGTTCGATGTTAAAATACGTTTAAACAAAAAATAAATTTGGAAGTACTCACGTACTCACTAAAAACACTTCACACGATTTAAAGCAATAATTTTATCATAAATAATACTAAGATTTTAATTATTGCAATGATACTTTAGTATAAGACTAAAAACCCTGGAGTGTTTAAATTGATAAGTCATAACATTTATAACTATTAAACATACACCTAATACTCTGAGTATAAGGTTTATGCTTATAAATGATAACGGGAAAAGATCTGAACTGTGGGTGAATTTAAATTAAGTAAAGATTTAATATATTATATGATAAAATCTACAATTGAAACTAAAATAAAAGATATAATTTAATATATTAGTTTGGGTAGAATTTTTAATTATATTTAGAACGCAATTTCTCGACGTACTAAAATTTAAGTTTATAATAATGGTAATTTAAAACTAATGTCATAACTTCATAATATTAGATAAAAATTAATTTAAATAATTTATTATATAATAACTGTATAAGTTTAAACTTTCAATTATTAATCTGCATCACAAATAAATAGAAGACTAAGAGACTTAAGAATATTAACGTTCGAATTTTGTTAATTTCTTCATTTTAACTTATAGTAACAAGCAGTCTTATATATGGAACACAATTTGCAATCATATTAAATTTAATTCCATATCAAGTCAAGAAATGTTTCAAAAATAACTTCATTAGAAGTTTTGAAAAAAATCATAAGAATATTTTCGAATCATAATGGTACGAATTAACTGCTGGTCACTGAAAATGTTTATTTTTATTCCATACAATTTTGTGAACAGTAATATTAATTAAGTAACCTGTAGAGCTGTAGAACTTTTTTTAATTCAACATTTTGTTTTTAAAGTTTTTCAATTTGTATCAAATCATCTAGTAAATTTCAACGTAGAAAAATTTAAAAGCATCAAAAATAGTAATGAATAAAAAGAAATAGTTTTATATAATGATTTGTACACCATACGAGTGCATAATTATATTTAAATTATTGTTCAATTGCTGTAATTGTCACGTTTGGATTAAAAATAACAATTTCAATAGTTTGTTTTATTATAACCAAATTGAGGTATAGAAAATTTCAATTTTTTTTTCTTTTTTAAGATATAACAAATTATGGAAACACGCTGACGTAAACAGAATAAAATCAAAATTCGTTTTATTCAATGAAAAGAAAATAAGGAATGAGAGAGGGATAAGTATGATAGTGGTTAAAGTTTTTCTTTTTTATTATAATCCCAAATGGATTGACGCCAACGATAGTGGAAGTAGCGTGGGCGTTAGGCGGTATGACGTCATCTGAACGCAGAGAAACGACGTCATAGGCAACCCGACCATTCAGGCCGGTAGCTATATTCCAAAATTCCTTAAAAGTGCATTTGGAGAAATTGTTGATTTCCACCAATGTAAATATTATATTTTCTTATAATTTATTTTTTACAGAACTTGGATTTTTATAAAATATTTCATTTACAATCTATATATTTTTAAACTTAATAAAATATAATAAAACTAGATAAATTATTTATATATTGCATAATTTTGGTCATTGCTCAAACAGTTTTATCTATTGATGTTTGATTTAATTTAATTTCTAAAATAGTTATATTTTAGATTAACAGAACATTTACAAACTGCTGGCTGTCAACACAACCTTTTTAATAATTTTTAAATTGTTTTGTATAATTTAAAATTTATAAATAACTCGAACCTTTTATATTATAATCATAATCGCTATGTATATATTCATGTATATGTTAAAGAATAATTCTAATATAATAATATAATTAATATATTAAATCAAAATTAATACTATTTACTTTTTTTTACACATTTTTAAATTAAACTATGTGCTATGTTGAGATAAATGATTAATTATTTTTTTTACTTTAATATAAGTAATTTTTTCAAAAGTTAAATACGTTAATAATCGTAGTTCTAATAAGATCTAATAAGGTGAAATGAATATAATTTTATTAACAGTCCAACATTTAAAGATAGTTTTGAATTTTTAATTTTAATGGTCAACAAAATATGAAAGGTGAACCAATAATAATCTGTTTTCCAAGACATTATTGTATAATAATTTATTGATCTTTAACTCTAAGTTCAAATGTCAAAAATAATTCCTTTATCCTACTACTGAATTATACATAAA